CTTATCCCTACCCCCGACCCTACTGCCGCGCTCCACCCACGCCCACCTCATCCCGCAGATTGCAATAAATAAAAGACATTACAAAGAAGTCGCCACTCGGACTGGCCTCAGCTTACATTAATATGAGTGTGTGTTCGAGTGTGTGCGTGACTGCATTTGCTCTCTTCCGTTCTCTCTCTTTCTCATTTTACTCTTAAGCATTTTTAGCTGGCTGCGATTTTCTCAGCTGAGGTTTGTTATTGTTTTTCTTGCTATTTTGCCGGCTTTTTGGGAGAGCGAGAGAGAGAATGAATGAATGAATATGAATATGAAAGCCCGCTCTCTCTCCCACTCAACCCACCCAACTTACGAAACTTCGCACACACTTTGCGGTTCGAGTTGGAACCGATTGCGGTTGCACTGCACTTCGTGTTGGCTCAAACATGTTCGAATTGGCACCGAAAAGCTAGAGAGTACGTCGGCGAGACGAGTGTGTTGATGGGTGAGGGGACTGGAGCTGTGGCAATAACCGGAAACGGAAATCATATTTGGGCAAGTTCTATTTGAAAGGCTCGTCCTTTCTCGTTGCTGGTCACCCCGGTTCGGAGTGCAATTAAATAGCGAAATGCCAATTGTTTCAATAGCACTCAAGCTCATCCTTGAGCAGGCACACACGCCCACACAGAGGACAGAGAGTGAGAGACAACGACAGGGCCTGCCATTAACCGTTAATGCACAGATCGTAAATCGAGTTGGCAGGAAGGTGTGTCATTCGGACTTATAAATAAAATTAACAACTGCCCGCGGCGATTACAGAAGGGGATGGATGGGTACAAGCGGAAATATTTGCGCGACTTCGACTTCGACTTTGCTGCTGCTGCTCCTTCTCCTTCGTCTCCTTCTTGCCCGTAATTAATGGCAAACAATTACAAAAAAAAAAAAGAAAGAAAGAACGAAAGAGAGAGAGAGAGAGAGAGGGGGGGAAAGAATGGTGGCCCCAAGTGGTATTACAAAATAAAATGCGAAGAGCAAGTTAAAAAGTGAATTACCTGATAAAGGACAAAACGCGATTTGAGGTGTGTTTGTTGGTTACCCAGCCAATTCCTGTGCTCCCCCCGGACCCACTCGTTCCACCCAAGAACACAGAGCACAATGCGTGTGTCGCGGGTTAAGCACCCGTGCCCAGCATGGGCTCCTAAGCGGACAATGGGCCATATAGACAGATTCAATGCTAAAGCTTATGCAACAAGTTTCTGCGATGAAAGTTGGGAGTTAACGGCAACGGTCATAAATGTACATGGATCAGAAAAACTATCTATCCACATTTACTCGAATCTATCCCACTGTCTTTGGTTTTTCTATAGTCCCAAGTGAACAATAGCCCACATCCGATTCATGGTTGATTCGGTCATTCCATTCCCCATCTCCATCGAGGCATTTACCAATTTGTTCCACTGTGCTTATCCTTTCAGTGGGACCACGTTCCCCCCTCGCACCCTTCCCAGCAGCGGTCAGTGTCCAGCTGACGCGCTTAATTAATTACGCGATTGTATTTGTGACTAACTGCTTACGGTTGCCCCATACCCCCTCATACCCCAGCCGCACCGCGGCTTCTACTTGGCTCGAAATGTTGTGGTAATGCAATCGCAGCTTGTTCTTGGTTTTGGGCAGCGTGGGCTCCCAATCCTTGGGGGAGTTCTGCCGTTGAGGTGTGGAGGCAAGGACGCCGCGTCATTGGGGAGAAATTAATACCCACTTAAGCTTAACCGGACAGTTGGCGGGGCTCTCGATGCCGCCTCAATGCCACTATTCTTGCTGTTTTCTCGAATTGAAGGTGATTCACGAGGCGCACAAATAAATCGTTTGGATATGTTGAACCTTTTATATTCATATTCTTTGAACAGGCTTTGCTTAGACTTTACCAGAGATTGGAGAGGTAAAGCCTTGCTGGATGTGTTTCAGTTTAGAATTTATACCCGTAGTGTTTTCCAAAGAAAACCCAAATCTACCGCGAATTTATCTAATATTTAGAAGCAGTTTCAACATTGTTTTTAGCACTCTGCAACCCAGACCTTATCGTCTACGATTCCTGGAGTAGTCCTGCAATTATCCTCTTGGAGTTTGAACCCTAACTCATATGCTCTGCCAGCACCCACACAAGAATTATGAAGTAAAACAACAAGAAAAAAAACGTTTTTATTACCGAAAATTACAATGTGCGAACGGAAAGAAAGGTGGCCAGCACCGGGGTCATTGGCAACAGCAGCGGGAGGAGGAGAGCAGTATGAAAACCAGGAGGAGCGGAGTTTCGGGCCTCCAGCTGTCCTCTGGTCAGGCAGGGATAGTATGAGTTCTCGGATAGTTGTGGGCCCGTCAGCAAATAAACACTCTCACCCTCGCCTCGGCCAGATCCTGGCAGGAGGTTAATTTCATTAGAAATTCATAATTATTTTTCGGGGGGTGGCGGCGGCTGGGCCTGTGGCTGGGCGTTGCTTCAACATGTGTAAATGTGAGCAATAAAAAATACATTTTGTGTATATATGTATTCCATTCATAGTTGTTGTCGTAATTTGTTTATAACGGTATTTATGAAACGGTCACAAGTCAACGCTTGCCACAAAACAGCAACAACAGCGAACCCTGGAAACAGGCACCAGGATCAGGGGGAGCAGGGGGGAGCAGGGACTCCCCATTCGACTCCCGTATCACCAATTATTCTTATTACGCCTATTACTACAGTTGTTTTCGTTGTTGTTATTTTTTAACCACTTTCTATGGCTGTTTTGGGCGGTAGCTGTAGCCCCTGCTGACCTTTTATGTTAATCGCATTTGGCTTAGGGGACACCGTACAGAGAGAGAGAGAGAGAGACAGAACGGGGGGCAAGGGAGAAAGTCTTGTAGCTGTAATTGATATGCGTCCTAATCATGCAATCCTTTGTGTCCTGCCGCTCGCCCACCCACACTCACTGAGCGCCTCGAAAGGAAACAACTTCAGTTTTGTGGCTTGTTAGGTGTAGTCGGGAAAGTAATTACAAGCTAAGCTTTGTTTTGGTTACAAACTAAAATGACGTCAGAGCTTGGGCACAGCGTTTGTTTGGGTTAAAATTCCGCAATACCTTGGGGAATAGTCAGAGCAGGATGTGCTGGCATTTTGATTGTCTTTGATCAGAGAAAAGTGAACCAAAATGTTCACAAATGTAATCTACCCCCAACAGATCTTCAATGTGTCACATCATCAATTAAATTGCAACTCTTTCTTTGCCCTCCAGCAATAACAACTTTCTTGCTCGATTCTTTCTTCAACTCAAACTATTTTTAAATATAAATTTAGTATCCGCTTCAACTAGAGTCTGTCTGCCCAAGTCACGTCTTCAATTCCCAGCTCAAGTCACAGATTAACTTCAGTTTGAAGCGTCTCCCCAAGAGATCTGGCATTTGCTGGCTAATTAATAAACTTTCACATATCTGAGCTCGGAAATCTTTTCACTTGCAGCATTCAGCATTGAATGGATTAGTGGGCATCTGGCCGAAAATCGTTTTATGTAAATTATCAACGAATGAAATAAGTATCTGGCTGTGTGTATTGCATATGTTTGTATAATTTATTGCAGTTTGATAGTTAGTTGGTTTAATTACAGCATTTTCACTTAACAAAAGTGAAAGTGCAGGCGCTGTCAAATGTTCAAGACTGCTGGCCAGCCAGCCATCGGCAAGTCAACGATCCAGGCCAAAGCAAACCAATTCGATTTGAGCCGCTGTTTTGGGTATGGCCCAACCTTTGACCTCTTGCCTCTTGCCTCTTGCCGCCCAGGTACGCAGACAGACGGTAGTAATCGAAACAGTTGCACTTCTCCAGTAGTCCCCGGTCTGTTCTGGTCGTGACCCCTCTGGAAATCATAAGGCAATAAATCTTTTTAATATCTCTCCTTGTTCTTGGTCTTGAAATCTTTGCTGCTCTTTTTCTCTGCTTCACTTTTAATTCTGGCTTGTTTCGTGGGCGTTCATTTTCCTTCTTTTTTTTTGTTGTCTTTTCTTGTAACATTTTTGTTGCTCTTCTTAGATATTCTCACGTCCTTTGGCTGTTTGTGGAGGGGTGGAGGAAGAGATGAGGCTGGACTTGGGGGGCGTGGTCATTACTCAAGTTTGTGGATTTGAAGTAATAACTCAGTGCGTCATAAAAATTTTAATTGCTTTGGGTTTTGCCTCCCCAGTTCGGGTAATTAACATTAACCCAAAAATGTCCAAAGAAACACAGAGCGAAAGCCCTGGAACAATGCAAAGAACCCAGAGCCACGAACATGCCCCGAAAACAATGAGGCAATAAAAATTGCAACCCACCTTCATGGAGAGGGAAAGGGTTTCCTTTTCTTTTTTTGTCTCGCTCAAAATTTCCACGCGTATCAGTAATTAGTTTGGTTATTGTTTTACGCGGTGCATAGCTCTGGAAAGGGATTCTTATAGATATAGAGGAGAGGAGAGAAAATCTAAGAAAACTCTACAAATATTTCCCTCAAATGTTCGACCAATCGTTGCTTTATTTTGATCCCGAACGTTGCTCTCCGTGCCCGCTCCGCACTAAGATCTGTGGCCAAGGAAAAGGCCGAGCCGCCCTGTCATCCAGCAAAATTTATATGTGGGATCAAAAGGAAATCCCACAACAAAAATCAACACCAATTGTTGTTCCACGTTGGCCAGCAGACGCTGCAGAGCCCAGTGCTAAGTGGTTGCAATTAGATCAGGGTCCAGGATCCAGCGTCCAGGCGAACAGGTAGAACAGGTAAACAGGAATTTTGGTATTAGGAGATTCGAAGTACGAGCTGTGGTGTGGGTTTCGGTTGAGCACTATTGACTTTGATCCCAATGCATTGCAGGGTTGGAGGAGAATCTGTTTCGAAGTGAGCAACGCATCTCAGGGTGGCAATAAATTCTGATTGCAATTGACACTTTTATCGCCGGTCGCCTCATCGAAGGGATTCAATACAAACTTGTTCTAATGCTCAACTGTTTCTCCTTTGTTACAGCACTGAGGCAGAGCAGAAATACAAACAAAATCAATTGAAAGTGCAGCTGTAGCTGTAGCTGGAGCAGTGAAGGAACAACTGCAGGAGCAGAAGGCAAAACCAGCTGAAAACCAGCATCAAATCGAAGGAGAAGATCTGAAGCTGCAACTTCTAAAAAATATCAGCAGTGAGTACCACTCCAAGAATATCTTATGGATAAGTACACGATAAGTATTTATGAATAGAAATGGTCAGCGGCTATCTCCAAGGGGGGCTACTGCTGCTGGTCTCGTCTCAACTGGCAAATCAATTCGCTAATTGAAGGCGGCGCAATTGAAATGCTGCTTAATATTGTTAAATATGAACGAGTTGGCATCCCCCGATGAAGCTGCCATCTCCTCTGTGGTGCACATGCCCCCCTTCGGTTAACATTCTTAATAGAATCAAAGAGCGACGCAATATAACTTTTAATTTGGCGTAATTGTGACTGGGTGCCCCTGTCTGGGACTTGGAGACAGATTTACGTGTGTGTCCGTCCGTCGGCCAGTTGGAAACAATCAAGAATGAATTCGAATTGGACAGAGGGCGCTGAGATTTGATGAACGAACTTTAAGATACTCTTGCCAGAGGCAAAATAAACAAGAAATAAATCTCTAAAAAACTGTTTTTCTAAGGCAGTTTCTTATGCCTAGACATTTATTAAAATTTGTCTAAGAAATATACAAAAAAACCTCCTCCTTTTCGGCTAGCCCTTAATACTCTCTCCCAGCGTAGAGTAGCAACCCCCCGTTTGTTGGACTATCCACAGTTAGCTCTGTTAAAAGGGTTGGGGGTATGATACAGCAGAACCCCCTACGACAACTGATGAAATCAATTAACCAAATGGCGCGAGTACTCGTCCAATTCCACTGAGCATTCGGCTACAGAGACTTTTGCATTGGTTAATAGCCGGCTGTGCAAAAAATAAAATAAAATACAAATAAAACTAGAGAGAGAATTGAAATCAAAATCAAAAATATTTCCATGCACACACACACACACACACACACTTAAGCTTCAAAGGGGATGGATGCCTTCCTCCAAAAACAAGAAAACAAAAAAAAAGCAAAGCAGTCCAAAAATGTTCTCCTCTGAGGAGCTTCAATTGTCTGCACTTGAGTTCAATTTCTGTTTTGGGTCTCTCTGGTTAAAAATGCTTTTAAAGCTGCCACAGACGCATAGAAAGAGCGAGACAGCGAGCGTCGGCAGACGGGGCCAGATATTTTCGTCATAACTATAAATTTTATTAAGATTCAAATGTTCTGCGTACAAATTTAGATACAATTATTACTTACTTCAATGACGCCGAGAACGGGGGGTGGGGAAATTGGAGGCAAGTGAACCAAAAGGGAGGGCAGCAGAGTTGAAGATTTCTTTGGAAATCACAGCAGGAGGTCTTCATACTTTGTTGGTTCTATTTTATGCGACATATTTCAGATGATTCAAAGCTCTCTCCAGCGGAACAGTTTCATACTTCATAACTTGAGGATTTTGAGTGCTTATTAAAGCTGGAAAAAGGCGTAATTACACTCTAATATGGTGCCATTTCTTGCTTCAGTTTTGCCTGTTTGGTTGCTCGATCTGCTCCGACCTGAGGCCTTCATTTCCCAACCCATTCGCCCCACGGCTGCACACCTACCCGCTACCCCCAGCCAGCTCCATGCAGCTCTCCCAGATCATTCGTCAAATGACAATTACAATGACTTAATTACTTTTAATAAAGACGTCCCGTCCAAATGTGGTGGCCTCTTCATTAGCGAAAAACATACGATATAAATTCTGGCATGGGGACTCTTTTGCATAATGCCTCATTATGCTTAGAGCAGGGACAGATCGTGCCAGAAACTGGGAGCAGCGGGGCGGGGGGTGGAGGAAGGCATGTACGCCTTAATACATACAAATTGAAAATTGATGAATTTTTCCGGTGGCCAGAAGATCTAGAAGATCGCAGCAGCTGCACTCGCACTCGACTATCAATTAGGAGGGGGCTGGGATTACCCACCGATCTGCCGATCTGCCGATCAGCCGCCCCCTCCTGGCCACACTCGATTCTATCGAACAATCAATGGCAATTGCTTGGGATCGCCATCGAAGGGACTGGAAATAATAATGACTTTAATTGAATATTGCGCACTTCATTCATTCCGCGTTCTAAATTTGAATTTGTGGCAAGAGGCAAGAGGCAGCAGGCAGGCAGCATATTTATCCATTATAAACTTCCAATCGACCATAAACACTTGGAAGCCCCAGTCTGTGCCTCTGTGTGAGTATCCATGAGAGAGATACAATGTGCGGGCCGGAGGACGGAGGTAAGCGACAACGAGCTTTATATTTGGATATGGCTGGTAATAAAGTCCGCCGCTTCACATGGCCAAGATTCGCGCAGGCAGCGTGAGTACCCCGTGCCCCTTCCCCAAACCGAACAATTCAAGCATGAAAGCAATTTTTAATTTATTTTGGTTGAGCGCTTCACTTTTTTCCTAAAATTATGACATAATAGCAACAGCAACAGCAACAGCAACATCCAGCGACTGAACCACCTAATAATGTCATATGGAATTGACGAGTACCGCGAACGACCCAGAGACGCAGCCAGGCGGGGGTGCTAAACGCCTGGCCATACAGCTCGGAGCGGACTGTACGAAACACCTCTCAGGGTTGGCAGTGTGGGAAAAGTATATTTGGATGCGGATGGGATGCCAGCAAAACCAAACACCTTCCGCTTCACAAATCAGCGGCACAGCCAGCTTCACGTGTGTGTGTGTGTGTGAGTGAGCGCTTCGATTGCTTTTCCTGCTCCCATGGCATTAGCGTTTGACCAGTTGTCAGTTGGTTAATGTTATAATTAACCTGTCCACCACTGTCGCACCTCCCGCTGCTCCCACGGTCCGACACATATCGATCCGACAAGAACCCATCGATACCAGGTTTAAAAATATGCAGAAAATTAGCTGAGCAGATCGCAGGATGCTGTGTGAGGCTTACAGGAGTAAAATGAAATTGAAGATTTTTCTGGGAACAATCACCGCATAAAATATTATTTCTGATATGGTAGAAAAAAGTGGAAAAATATTTGACAACAGATTTCCTCCACCTACTGCCACACCCCTTGGGCTTATTGAGTCAAATTCTATGGCCAGCAGCCACTCCAATGCTGATCCCAATGCCCTACGACGCCCCAAACACATAGTTTCTCTTCCAACGGTGCACAACTCCAATACTTATAATCTTGAAATCTATGGCGCAGTTGTGTGCTGCCACAGCTGTGGCTCTGGTATAATTGATTTGGCCACATTCGTATCTGTATCAGGTTTAATGCTCGTAACAATTTCACATGGAGTGAGCTCCGTGGGCGCAGCAAAGATGGGCTAACTATGTAAACACGATCATTAAATAAAACAGACCACAAGGAGAGAAAAAAAACAGAGAGGCGCATTGGTAGAGCGCGCGAGCGAGATGCAAAACGCAAATAGAAATAGAAAACATAGAGGAGCGGAGAGGAGCGGAGAGGAGAGGAAAAGGAAACAAGTTAACCAATGAAATAAACGCAAATTTAATGACAAACCAACGCCACCAATACGCGTTTGTTTTTCCATTGAGCCCAAAAGGTGGACAGAGGCCGAAGACCGAGAGAGAGGGAGAGAGAGAGCACTTTACAGCAGATCGGGATCTTGAAACAAAAACTACAAAATGGAATACATAATAAGTGTGTGTACAAAAACATACACACATGCATGTGTACATATAAAATAATGAACAATGAATTAAATGTTATGAGATGTAGAGACTCCCCTCCACTCCACTCCACGCCACTCACGTACAGCTGCAGATACATACAATAGATACACACAGTCGTAGGTTGTATCTGTATCTTCGGCTGGTAGTAGAGCGATCCACTGGCTCTGATCTCTCCCGCTTGTCGCTGCTTTTTATTGCTTTTCAATACCGAAAGTTTGACCAGCGACCTGGGGGAAAACTAATGCTCAGTATGTGTATCTCTGGGATGCGGACACATTCTTGTAGTTGCTTTCTCTTTGTGTTAATTGTATTCAAATAATGATGATGCCGTGGAGCTGTAGCTGGAGCTGGAGCTTGACTGTGTCTCTCTCTCTCTCTCTGGCTAATTTAATTTATGGCCAGTTTATGTAAATTTCCAAATACCATTTAGTTTGTTTGTGTCTAGTGTTTTTTTTGTTTCACTCAGCTCTTGCCACCAATGCCCGATCAATTTCTGTATCTCTGTATCTTTAGTTTCTACTTCTACGCTTTAGTTTTGTCTCTTCTTATTTCCATCATTTCTTTCGGTTTTCAATATTAACAATTTGTATTGTGTACGACAGTTCATTGACATCGCACCAGATCCGAACAAGCCACCGGGCATCCATCCATCTACTGGCATGGCATATCTTTATGTGCTTGAGCAAAAGAAAGTTGGAAACTCTTTGAGTGACGGCATCCAGCATTGGCATTTGCATAAATTTGGCCACATTTCTTGGCCATGCCAAAAACTACACAGAAATAGACACAGACTAGCCAGCAACATGAGCTTCAGGCTAATTGCGGCCCATTGAGATGGCTATCAGCGGACTCGCCCCATTAAGAGAGTCATTTCGGCCAAGTTGGAAATTAATTAGTACCTGACCTGACAGACTGCGCATAGTGGGTGCCAATAAAAACGCATTGCAGTCAGATCCATGAGATACGGTCTCACGCATCTGATGAATGTCTCCATAGTCCATTTGGCGCTGCGAACCACATCTAGATTTCAGGTTTAAGTTTCGATTGCGTTTATTTAGCTTTGGCTTTGATACCCTGCGAGAGAGTATATTGGGTTTGTGGCAGACAGCTGGCAGGAGAAAACAAACGTTGGAATATGAGTAACAGCAATCAAGTGATCATTCGCTTGTCGGATTATCGACTCTAACTTTTTGTCTTGCTTAATTTTGTATGCTGACTCTCGGGCGCATTTTTTATTTGCTCATTTAATTTCTGAATTTTCTGAAATTACTCAATTAGTTTAATTAGCAGCTGCTGCTGGCCTCTCCTCCTGCAAGCGGATCGTGGCCTAAGCCAGGCCAGGCAGAGCGACAATGAAACACTCCCGCTCCTCTTACCTTGATTGATTTTTTTCAAAAACATAATGCAATTCCCGCTTGAGGTCGTCTGTCCTCTCTCTCTCTCTCTTCAAGTCAAAGTCAAAGGCGACTTTGGCGACGGTCATTTGTCAAAATCATTAATGCAATTACAGCAAACAGACTGAGAACTGAGAACTGCGAACTGAGACTCTGAGAACTGAGAGGCTGTGCTGGCTGCCTGCCTGCTAATTATTTTGAATTATTCAATTTCATGTCTCAATTTAAATTCTCCAAGGCAATTAGGAAAAGTCGTTCCAGCTCCGTCTCAGTTTTTAGTTTTATTCTCTCTTTCTTCTGCCATTGAGTGCCACTTTGATGCGTGTCCATCTATGGGGGGGAGGATGCAGACTGTGCTTGAGGTTGAGTTTTGGGTGCTGCCAGCACAAAAAATAGAGAGAATTTCGGGTAAGCTCTGGGTCGGGGCACCATGCGGAAAATGCAAATGAGAGCTCGTATATGTGTGTGGCAAAGCAACAAATAAAACCATTTAAATAATTGAAAATCGAACAAATCGCGCTGCTAAACCCAAAAAACAAAAAACAACACAGAGAGAGAGAGAATAGATTTCAACGTTTCAATAATAAGTTTAATGGAAAATGGCCAGCTATATGGAAAACGTATGCAAATTCTGCAAAAGAGAGCCACAAATGGGCGGTGAGGCTGGAGAGCGGTTGGGGGTGAGGAGCTAGGCAACACCTAAACAAAATGGTGTCCAAAAACTAAATTCAACCATGATGGTTGCACATATATATACATATGTACATGGCTGTGTTGCCTGACAGAGCTGAGTGCGTGATTATTTAATTCAATTAATTTGAATTTTGTGCAGATTAGTCGAGCGAATATACCAGGAGATAGAATGCCATAAATATAGCATCAAATATTGTTTATAAATCACTCAAAAATAGCCATGAAAATGGTTGAAATAAATGAAAATATATCCAAAGATTTTCGTCAGTCATTGAGTCGCTTTTATTGGTAACTTTTTAAGCAAAAAAGCATCCAATATTACCTTTATCACCAAGCCTTTTTTGTTTATTTTGCACACTTGCGAAGGACATTTGTTCACACCAAAGTGTGACTGTCACTCACGATTCACGGCACAGCTCCAGCCAGAAGGCCTACAAATAGATGTGTGTACCGTACATATGTAAATATGTATCTGTATCTGTAGCTGTGTATGCTGTATGCTGGTTTTTGCGTGTTGGATTGTTGATGTGCAAAATCTAATTAATTATTTCATTAAAAAAAAAAGAAAGGCATTTTATTGACATTCTAATTTGGATTTTTAGAATATTCCGGCTCTAAGCATGGCATTGTGTTTGTGTTTGTGTATGCGAAAGATACAAATATAGATACGAGTACATATAATTACCCGATGTACGAGTACACATAGATATACATATTTACATACATTTGTACATACCCGAAAACACGTCGGATGAGCGATTTTAATTGGTTTTTAACTAATTTGCTTGCATTGAGCGGCGACCTGAGCGGCCCTCTGCCCCCTCCCAACCCAGAAGATGGACACACAAACCCTTTTTGCACCAGAGGCCGACCGAGCCCCCCTGCTATAATTCCATTGTTGACAATCTATATAATTCGATTTGACATTTTGCGAGCGCCGCACGGCGACAATGACCAACATTTAATCGAGATTGCAGGTGTGTCGAAAACTAATCAGGAGCATAGCAAATTATCCACAGAATTACCAAAGGGTAACAAATTGCAAATTATCTGCCAGATAATTGGTCACATTTATGGCGGGGACAACATCTACATCTACACAAGCACATCCCTGAGCTGCCCTGAGAATATTCTTGCGCACTTTCGAGTCAATTTCCTGTTCTTATATTTATGCGTGTCTCTTGCCCCACTCCCCCCTTATGGAGTTTAGGGCGTAAGCCTAACAATATGGAGTCATAAACGATATAAACATAACTGTAAAAATAATGTTAGAACCAAGAAGAGGAGGGACCAGAAAACTTCATACTTGTACCTCGCATTTCGACTCATTGGATTCTCCCTTTTGACAGCTCGAAATGCAAATCGTAAAAACAACAATCATCATCATGTTCCTTCCTTGTGCGCCGCTACTTGGGCTAGAAGAGTACAGAAGAGTGGTATTGAAATATCTACCCAGATACTTGGTTCACTCACCAAGGCGCCGTCTCAACTTACCCAAAAATAACAAGTAACTATTGAGCGGAGTGTGTAGCGAACCTTAAGATACTCATTGGAAAGGTTTTGAGATGATTCTTTGCGTGGAAAGAAAGCATATTAGAGAGCCGAGGCTACTCCCATAAGCACAACTACTGCATTAAAGATACCATTCGATAGCCAAACTGTTCCCCACAACATACTATCTACACCCTTGCCAGCCGGAACTGTCGGGGTGTGTGCTACAAATAGTTCAATCCTAGACGTGAAGCCCGACCCGAAACCCCGCCGAATATGCGTGTTTGCACAGTCATATATATGCTTGGATCGTTATATAAAGTACACACACACACACACACACACACGCACACATGTCTGTGTTTTGTTTAGTAATTCGTTTTTTATTTACCATTATCATTTACATTTATTTGTTATTATGTTACGCGGAAAGTTGCTCCCAAACGAGTACAGGCTGTAGCTGCCACCCTCCACCCTCTGCCCTCTTAGTGGATATTTTATTCGTGTTTTGGGTGTCTGTTTTATTTTCTTGTTTTAATTTTAGTCATGTTTGAACATTTTGAAGTGTGGCAGGACGAAATGCAATTGCGTGGCACGAGCCACGTTGCACCCCAGCCAAATCCATATCCTTCTCGCTTCCTACTCGCTGATTACATGTGAAAAGGTGTGCATTGTGTGTGTGTTTTTTTTTGGTAACCCCATTTACATATTTTTTGGTCGGTTACCAAGCCGGAACGTACGAGTATCTATCCGCGCTGTTGTTTTATTTTCGTTGGTTCTTGGCTTTCGCTAGTTATGGCACGGCAGTTATGGCAGTTCCCCTTCGATGCGATGCGAATGTTTGTTCAATAAACGAAATAATTGCCAGCAAATGTGTTATGATGAAATTGTTTTGGGTTACTTCATAAATTAGCGCAAAAACGAAGCACACGCAGCACCAGAGCACCCGAGTGGAGGCAGACAGAGCACGGGCTTGGGGAAATATCCACAACAAACCACCCAACCCACAGGCAACTAACTAAATTCGTAGTGCTGTAGAAACAGTAAAAGAAACTATAAAAAATATATATATGCCAAATAAGACTTTGTATTTGTTGAGCAATAAATACAACTACTCAAGGCATAGATTCTGGATTTATCTTCAACGATGCAACCGCTGAACTCGAATACGATTTTCATAGCTTAAATGTCCGCCACAGACTGCATCTGAAATCCCCTCCTCACTGCTTGAGTAAACCAGATCAATGTGTAATCCCCCTGCAACAAGCAACCATTTCTCTTGTTCATTCATCTCGGTAATGAGTTCTGGCCCGCAATTGCCCAGCAAATGGGCGCCCGTCCAGCCTCTCTCGATATAGCCTTAGTCACGGCCCAAGCAAGTGATGGTCATAATCGGGTTTAAAACGCCAAATCATTAATCAAGCAGCGAGGGACTGAGTCAGAGAGTGGAGTACCCTGAACATGATCTTTGCACGGAAATTCCATAGATGCATGAACCTTTAGTCGAGCTGCAAATGCAGGCGCCAATTGCAGGCAAAGCCAAAGACTTTTTTGATGGGGAAGTTTCCGCCTCTGCAAAGATTCGTAGCGATCGCAGCCCAAGACCTGGCAGCGTGAGGCTGAGATGAATTCGTTTATAAATATTTTGATGGTGGTACATCGATCAGGTTGTGGTTCCGCAGAAGCCACCACGAAGATGGATGGATGGTCGGGGCTCTGGCTCTCCCCCCAACCACTTCTAATGATCTTTTGTACAATTGCTTTTGGGTTTCGAGAGGGTTCATGTGTGGAGCAACTTCTGGTTCATTGTGTTGTTGTTTGTTGCTTGTAAACGCTTAAATTAAATTGATTTGCGTCTAATGCCCCGACAAGTGGTGGGCTTCGACTCTGGGCTCCTGCGATGGTGGTTCGGCTTGTGTAATTAATGATTCCATTAGACACCGCAGCGGTGTGGCCCGGTCCCGCTGCTTATGTATGAATAATTGGTAATAATATTTAATGATTGGCTGTGCCACAGCGACTACTGCCACCTGCCACCTGCCAGAGCAATTGTAACTGTTTTCTTCTTCCAACTCTTTGCAGGCGCTTCAGGGCCGGCATTGTTAGCTCCGTCCATGGCCGCCAGCAGAGTCCGGTGAAAATGGACAAGGGCCGCCCGAGATTGCCGCAACTTTCGCCAAACTAGCAGAAGGGAAGAGGAGAGGAGAGGAGAGGAGAGGAGAGCAGGAGACATCTACGGCAAAGACTCTTTCTGGCAAAAGTAAATATTTGCCAAATCCCAACAAAAGGGCCACAACAATAGCTTCGAATTGAATCGTAGCTGAGGAATTAGCCACAAAGGAAGACGCATTCTCGCGAGAGTCCATTAAGAGCAAAGCCCCATCCTCAATCTCCCAACGGCTAGAAGCACGAACAGACCGACACCCAGGCAGCAGGTTGAGAGCCGACGGTCCACTTAAATGACCGAATCCACACAGCTGCAAACGGCGGAGAACAACAACGCGGGCGTGGTTAAAATGGAGCCACCGCCACCGGCGACCTCCTCAACCTCCGGCCACGCGCTTTCCGCACTCTCCATGGCGGCCACCGGCTCCGCCCTCTCGCCAGCCACACCGCCACCATCCGCCCTGGGTCTGTCACAGCACCAGCATCAGCATCAGAGCCATCAGAGCCATCAGAGCCATCAGAGCCATCATCAACAGCAGCAGCACTATGCCCTCAAATGGAACGACTTCCAGACCTCGATACTCAGCTCGTTTCGGCATCTGCGCGACGAGGAGGACTTTGTGGACGTGACCCTGGCCTGCGATGAGCGCTCCTTCACCGCCCACAAGGTGGTGCTCAGTGCCTGCAGTCCCTACTTCCGCAAGCTGCTCAAGGCCAATCCCTGCGAGCATCCAATTGTCATACTGCGAGATGTGCGCAGCGACGATGTCGAGAATCTATTGAGGTGAGTCTCCCACAGGACTTTGGCTTTACATCCCATAAATATCTTTGATTCCTTCAGCTTTATGTACAACGGCGAGGTGAATGTCAGCCACGAACAGTTGCCCGACTTCCTGAAGACGGCGCATCTGCTGCAGATACGCGGACTGGCGGATGTCAATGGGGGCTATCCCTATGCCAAGGCACTGTCCGCCGCCCTCTCGCACAGCAGCAACAGCAGCAGCAGCCACAACAACAACCTCAGCAGCAGCCACAACAACAATTTCTCGGAGAGCAGCAAGCTCAACAGCTATCTGCCACAGACACAGACACAGGCACAGGCAATGCTGAACAACAGCAACATCAGCAGCGGCAGTGGCAGCAACAGCGGAGTGCTCAACAGCAGTCACGGTTCACCCTTCAGCACGCCCCAGGCTCCAGCCTCAGTGCCTGCCTCGAGTGCCGCAGCGGCGGCAGCAGCGGCAGCGGCAGCCTCACTGACCGCTGCCGTGGCAGCAGCCGCAGCTGCCACAGCCAGCGCGAATGCCAGCTCGAGCAGCAGCAGCAGGGACCAGCTACAGGGCCAGAGCACAGGCAGTGGCAGTGGCACGCCCGCCATCCAGGAGCTAAAGGCATCGGCAGCGTCGCCCGTAAGAACACCCAATCCCAATTCCAGCAAAGTAACGTTTGCATTCCACCCGTGTGCCCCGCTTCAGACCCCCACTAACCAGAGCTTTATCCCCATTGACACCTTTGCAGGCCAGCAGCAGCAACCATTGGGACATGGGCGAACTGGAGGGCAGCCGCAAGAGCCACCTCACGCCGCCGCCACAGAAGCGCATCAAGAGCGCCGATCTCTTCCGGGCACAGCATGGCATCAGCCCCGAGCGACTGCTGCTCGATCGTGAGTTTCCCGTGGCCGGACAGCATCCGCTGACGCGCAATCGCGGCGGACGCGACACGTCCAAGGATCGGGAGCGTAACCTGGAGCTGCGCGAGTCCCTGCTGGGACAGGCGCTCGAGAACAGCAACGGACAGCAGGCGGCGAATCAGGTAGGTCCCCCCACTCACAGCTGAGCTCAGAGCTGTGAACTCACTCTGTCCGCTATCTTGTGTCCGTTTGCAGAAACACGATCTCGGACAAAGTGCCGGTGAGGACTCGAACAGCAGCGATACGGAGCCCTCGGATCGGGGCGATGGCCAGCATGATGGCACCCTCGATGGCATCGACAATCAGCGCTCGCACTCGTTCCCCAATGCATTCCTCGGCCTGCAGGGCATACCCGGGCTGTTGCCAGGACCCTCTGGAATGGGCAGTGATTTTGGTGAGTACCTGAACGATTACCACGACTACGATAGCGATTACGAGCTTGCCCATTCGTTTACACTTTATTCTATCGAATATTTGCCTCTTGTGTATGATTTATCGATCGAACGGAGCGACATTCGCATATGATTTGCATTTTGGCTAGACATTTGTTGCATAGTAACTAACTATCAGTGTATCGATAAACCGATAAGCCGCTAATCGAACGAAATTTATGAAACAAAATCAATTGGCACACAAATCAGATATCAGACTCAGATATTAGTGAAGTGAAAATCGTACAAAATAATTGGCAAAGTGACAAAAACGCTGGCATTAAACATTTATAATCCAAATTGTTATCGATTAATCGACTTTCGATATGATTTATCGATTGAACGTATACTTTATAAACTTGTAATCTTACCATAGAATAATCGATAAACCGATAATTGCCAAGTCATCGAACCACCAATTGGCAGCAAACAAAATTATAAAGAAATTTCATACAAATTCCCATAATCCAAATTGTAATTAAAATCTAAGAAACATAAACCTATCGATAGTTATCGGTTTATTGGCAAAAATATGTTATAATCCATTTATTTTGCATTCCTTTTTCATGTATACATCTTTGATAAATATTCTAAGTCGTAGTTGTAGTCCATCAGTTAAGTAGTGGCAGTGAAACACACAAATGGGCAATCGAATGAGACCATTTATCGATAGGAATATCACGGCAATAATCGGCAATAACATGCCAAATACATCTACACCTCATTTACCCGGGCACTCGATCCTAACGAGCCTCGAGTTGGGAGAGGCAATCATTAGGCCCATAACCAACTGTCGCTGGTGCAAAGCTTTATCCCTGTTTCTATCGATATGCCCATGTCGAATGCTGTCCAAGAAATATGCGCGTAGCACGTGTCGCATTAGGCTGGACAGCAACTGCTGGCCGGGACATTTCGGAGTGTGTGATTATAAACACATTCAGATGTGTGTGGGCAAGAAAAGTGTACATAATGTTCCCATCCGCCATTCACGTATGTGCAAATGGACAACAAAAAATGATTATTACTATTACCGGGAATACTATTGCCATGGACATAACTATGGGCCTGTTACTGTTATTGTGATTATGATTACCATTCGATTGGTGCGGGAGGGATAAGGATAAGGGATAAGGGTTTTTGGCGTTACAAATATGATTCGGTTCTCGGGGATCTTTCTTGCTGTTTGTTTGTGTTGCCTAAGCACAGGACACGCACTTTGTACGGCATCGGCAATGTCGCATTTATCGCGCATTAAAAAGATAATAGCCAGAGACTCTCCAAAGTCTTACACACAGCCCTGTCCCGCGGCCTGGACCTTCGTTTAATATTCAACGCACATAGATCATGGCAACAAATGTTGGCCAGCACTTGGTCAGTTTGGTCAGACAGCTGCTCAAACAGACAGGACAGAGATGGTCGTGGGTTCAGAGAAATCAAATTTAATAAAGCATAAACATTCAATAAGCTTCGCTTCGGTCAGGCACGCCTCTGCCTGTGCCACTGCCTCTCTGGAGCCAAGTCATTTGAAATTCCGAGCAGCGGTAACGGGCACAGGACTCTTGGCCATTTGGAAATCCGAATCGAAAATATTAACGGCCCGAGCGAGCAAAAAGGATAAACTTTTGCGCAATGATAAAAATGATAAGTTTTTTTTGTTCCTTCTCCGTCGGTGTGTTCTGGGTGGGTCCACGTCCACCCACACAGGGGGTGGGAAAAAGGGCGACACAGACACGAGCATGGATGGGACATACATATTTAGATTTTATTTCGTTTTATTGCTTTTTTGTGCATTCGATTTATTTGGAAAGGCATTTTGGCAATGGCCGAAAACGGACTTGGAAATTGCGCACATGTGTGCGCAAGGACTTGAGAGCTGAGAAGCCCCCAAACCCCCCCCAGACCACTCCCATCGAGTAATATGAGTTGGGTTTGCATTTTAATATATTTACTTCTCGTGTGCCCATGGCCCGCCCCCACAAATGTCACACACTCTCTCGCAATCAGATGCGACGGGGGCCAAGTGGATGGGATGGGACACGGGACACGGGACACGGGACAAACAAAAACTACAAAAGACGGAAAAAGTTTACTTTGCAGAAATCCATTGCAGAAACATTTATAAAGTGGCCCCGGCCAGAACTTGGACTAGGACCAGGGCCAGGGCCAGGGCCAGCCACCGAAAACGTCTTGGAGCAGCAAAAAGGACTAAAATAACAAGGAGGGAAATTGTAGAAATGTAGAAGAAGCCTTTCCTAGGGGGCGTCTTCGCACAGGACATTTTAAAATGAAAATGATAGCAGGAAGACAAAAAAAAAATTGAAAGAAAAGAGAGAACGGACAGCGGACAGCGGACAGCTAACGTGGCCCCAGGCAGGCGGCAGGCAGCCGTCGTCTTCAGGTGGGAGTGGTGGGGAGATTGAAAGGATTGGAGGAGGCCCAAACATTGACAGCAAATAAATGGCAGCCAAAATAATAACAGCAAAGGGGAGGTGTGCCCCGGCACATGTGTGACACCAAAAGGCAGGAGGAAAGCCGGAAAGCGCACTTCAAATCAGCAAAAAGCAGATAAAAAATATAAAGAATGGACTTGTTCAGGGAGCTATGGGCTATGGGCACTCCAGCAAGAGCCGATTTTGAGCTGAGAAAACTTAAATCTTGGCTTACGAGTGGTACTTCCTAGGGCCTCAATGATGCAGCGTTCCGAGAATTGATATGAGATTTTGTTGACCCTTTTTGGGCGTAAATGTGGGAAATGTGTCCTGTTGCCTGTGCCAAGATGGCTAGTCAAACGGAAAGACGGCAAAGGATTGCTGGCAGCTGGCTGCAGCGCCGCTTTAGGTGCGAAGACTGCAGTTTGGCGCCGCCGGGCGTGGGCGAGCAAAACAAAAAGAAACGTATAAAAGCGGGTTGGAAAAGAAACCATTGACATATGAGGCCAGTTGCTCATTTCTTGGCCCAACAGCAGAATGCAAAAGTGTGAGGGACAGCGGAAGCGGGAGATGGAGAAGGGGACCAGGAACCACCGACTTGGCTGGACTGACTGGCGCTGGTCGCTGGGCATTTGGCGTTGAGGCTAATGCGCAAAGTTTCTTTGCCATCTGGTCGAGGCAGACACACAAGAAGGGCACACATGAGAGAGCTCTGCCTCATCCCTCTCCCTGTGGCCCAGCAATGCATTTTGTTGCCTTGCCTTTTCTGCTGCTCTGTTGATTTATTCGGAAAATATTATTATTTATTTGGAAAACATTCTGCCGCCGCCAACGTCGTACTGATTTAATCTTTTTGACTGCATTTGTCATGACTCGCATTGATAAACCGGCAAATAAATTGATTTACTTTTAGTGGCAGACAAAAGAAGAGAAAAAAGGAGATGAGACGTGACTGGAGAGGCATGTCCCAGGGTAATCCCTGAGATGATCCGTATCGCAATTTCAATCTCATAAATGTTTATGCCCCAATCCTGGCCCAATTAAAATTTTGCTCTCTGCTACACCCTGCTGCTGCTGTCCGGTAAGGGGTTAGAAATCTCCACGCTCCACCCTCAGAGCCCATAACAGTTCGCAGATGATTGAAGCTTCGTGTGGCAATAGAGACATTTAAGGACGTACGCGCCGAAAGGTCCTGCCATTGGGGAGGGGTCTGGGAGAGCTTCTGCGTGAAATACGTAAAATTAGCAGCCGAGAAACATTATTTCTCAAGCCAAACAAAACGCACCCATCCTGAAGGAATGGCCCGGGGAATGGGCAAAGCCATGGACAAGGGAAGGTGCGTGCGTAGTCCTTGCTCCTCTATTTGTTGGCGTGTTTGCATTTAATAAATTCGATTAACAACGGAATAAATACGCTTAAATGCGGAAAATAATGAAAACTAACGAAAAGCGTTTTGTTAGCCGTTGCCTTTGCCTTTGCCTTCGGCTTTGGCTTTGCCTCTGAGCTTCGCCTTTGTCGGCGTCGCCTGGGCGCCGCTTTCATTCCATCCGGCATTCAATCATTCCATTCAGTTATTCATTTTACGAGCTGTGTTATTATTGTAAATATGTGTGTGTGTGTGTGTTGCTGTTGCTGTAACAAATACAAATACATTACGTGAATAAACGCACCCATTATTTCATTTCATCAAGAACCATTAACGCCAACACGCTTACAAACCGAAACCCCGAACTAAACCGTAGCACCCACACCCCACAACCCACAACCCTACACACACTCTGGGACTTATGTGTGGCACTCACTTGGGCCAGCTTGCCCCCAACTCGCAACCCATACATCCAGCTGCTGCAAATGAGCGAAGGACATGAAAATGTTCAAGTAGATATACGGACACGGACTCGCACTCGGACAAAAGTTTTGCTGCCCCGGATAATGAGTAAAATGATTGGAAATACATTTGCAGTGCGTGCGTCTGTCGCATGTAGCTGTGGGTCTATGTATCTGTATCCTGTGCGCCTCTCTGTGGTACTCTGGCTACAGCTTCATCATTCAATTGTTGCCCCAGACATTGTTTTGTCATCTGAGAGGGGAGTTCTAAAGCATGCTCCAAGCATGTTGAAAGATTGTTCATAAAAATGAAGAATTTTCTGAATTGTGATCCTCAGGCTACCCCAAAGATTTCCATAGTTTTCCATGCCATTCAAATGTATGGCGAATCATTTTTCAGCTTTATATTGAAGCTGAATCCTTTGACAGCGCCCAATGGCACGCCCAAAAAACTAAACAAAACTAAAATTGTTATCAAATTAATTTCAAAAACTCCATCTGCTGCACGTCACACTCAAGTGAGTGTTGGTGTATGGGTATATAAGTTGAATATGTAGATACATGCAGCACACATAGTTATTTGGTATATGGGGGAATATGCCTGTGCCTGAGCCATACAGTAACAAAGTGCCAGAACCGGAGACACTTTTGGACGCACCACACACACGCACACACGCGCACAGGGACTGAGCGGACAGCACGGACAG